TTCTTCTTCTTATTATGGTTCTTATTTTTCTTCTTCTTCTTCTTCTTCTTCTTCTTCTTCTTCTTCCTTCTCTGTTTTGTCGCCAAGCCGGACGAGGGAAGGAAATTAGCAGAATTCCATCGGCGCTCTGCGCAGGTCTACGCCGGCTTCAGCGCCTGAAGTGACAAGCGTCCTTCCACAAGCATACGGCGGATTGCGTTTGTTTTTGCCAACTTCAACCCTCCAGTTTGAAATTTCCGCGGCTGTGAGACGGCAAGCTGCAGCGCTCATTGTAAAGTCCGACCAGCAAGGCCCGATTAAGAAGGCCCGACCCTTCTGGGAAGCCTGAACGGCGTCATTGGGGCACATGTTGACAGACGTTGCGGCTGGCGCGTTTCTAAGGCTTTCCCATGTGGGCTGCACTGAGCTCGAGAAATATTCTATTTATGTATATTGTATTACATTTGAGGAATATAAACTTCGACAGCGTGATCTTTCAAGGACGAGAGCGCCAAGCCTCTTTGCGCCCAGACTATGGACTATGGATGGATGCATGGATGGATGGAAGGACGGACGGATGGATGGATGGATGGGTGGACGGATGGGACTGGTCGGTGTGTGGGACAAGAGGTAAGAGAGGTCTTGATTATATATATATATATATATACTATTTTTTTGCGGCGGAGGGTCGCACAAACATCAACCTTATTGAAGACTTGAACAAAAACCGAAAGTTCCAAGACCAACTAACTCCACCCTCTACCCCCGCAGGTTCATCGCGCAAACCTTTTTCCAGCCAGAGGTGCGGGCAGCTCGACAATAACTGCCAGGGGTGAATCATCTATACTAAAAAAACACCCCCCGCAATTCGGGAGGCACAGCGCGGCTTCACCCAAGGAAGGGGAGCAAGGATAGCAGGATAGCAAGCAGACCGGGAAACCTTAACCAGGTGACACCTGGATTTAAGAAGGGCTCCCCAAACTTATTTCATGTGTGGGCCACCTGGCAACTCCCTCACCTCAACACGAGGGAAACCCCACAACGAATCCAAGGCCACAGAAAACAGGCTTCCAACAAGAAACCTCCACCAAAAAGCGGTCCGCAGAAATCTTATTCAACAAAAACATCAGAGTGCGGTCGACACTCATCCATGCCTTAGAACAATCATTCTCTCCAATGAAACCTTTAACAAGGCTACATCAACAAGTTGAAGTTCACCCAAGTTCATGAACGACCCCACTTGACTCACCTTGAGACACCCATGGAAATGGTGACCGGCCACTTTTTTTGCTCCAGAACAAAATCCTCCAAAGCACTGTCTTGCGTCTCTTGGGTTGATGCTTCCGATCTGGCAGCGCACGGGCGCCAGGACGGTGAGGATGAACAAAGGGAGCTTCAATAAGCCTGGCAGCAGTAGTGAGCTGGAGAGAACTTTTACGCTGTGAATGGCTAAGCATGTCATGCCAGACATCGCAGCATGGTTCTGCCCTACAAAAGCAGAGCAAAGGGTGCTGAAACAAACCCAAGAAGCATTTCGCACCAATGTTCCACCAAGTCATCCTTCGCGTCTGCAGAAAAGTGAAGCTTGTCTTTTGCCAAAGGCCATGTCCTCACCTTCTCGAAACATCGCTTCACCTCATTTTCACACTGGCATGGTGCCCGGCGTGACTGCACATGGAAGTCCGCAATTCATATCCAACGCAACACCACTAAGAGCGCGCAATCGCGCTCCAAGTCATGTTGGACAATGCTAGGTACACTCACGCAAGCCTGTGGCACAGCTGCTCATAAAGATACAGCTTGATGGTGTGTTGAAACTTCATCTCAACAGCAGCAGGCACACCACAAGTGGATAAGCTGCTGCCAGCGCAGAAACGTCCTGCTATTAGGTACACGCGAGCCTGTGGCATTGCGGCACAAAGAACTACGGCGCGTAATTAGAATCAATGCTCCGCAAGTTGCAAGGACAGCAACTGCCTGTGGCCTGGCGGCGCTCCCACCTTCAGGTGCGCAGAAGGGAACCTCAGCCACGGAGACAAAAGGCGCACCACAAGCGCAAAAGCTGTTGCCAGCGCTGACCTGCAGCCCTGCTGCGCATATGTTTGGCGCTGCAACGCGACATTGCCGTCCTGCTTGGTACACGCCAGCATGTAGCATTGCTGCGCAAAGAACTGTGGAAGACAGGCCAACGCAAAGAAAGACTGCTTCAACAGCGCACTACGAGCGAACAATCTTTTGCGCCAGAAATGTCCTGCCAAGGACGCGCGCTTCCTGCGGCACATGCGCCGAAGGGCAGCTCAGCAACGGAGGCGCTCGCAAGCGCACAAGCTGTTGCCGGCGCAGAAACCTTCCTGCGAGGTACACGCAACTACCTGCAGCCTTGCAGCGCATACAACATGTTTGGTACTGCGACGAGAGATTGCTTTGCAGCCGGGCAGTCGAAAAAAAATTGTTGCATAGATGAGGCATCCTAGCCAAGTACACGCAGCTGCCTAAGTTGCAAAAAGAAGCTTTCGCCGGTGAAGAAACGATAGGTACGCACAACTGCCTGTGGCGTTGCAGCGCAAAAAGCTCATAGTTTTATAGCGTACTCACCAGCAAAACCTGCTGCTAGGTACGCGCAACCGCCTGCGGGCTTCCTGCACGAACAACGCTTTGGCGCTGCTTGGAAGGACTGCTTTGTAGCGGCGACTCATGCCACACTACAAGCAAGCTGCTGCGGTCGCAGAAACATTCTGCTAAGTCTAAGTACAACTGCCTGCGGCACTGCGGCGCGTCTGACTTGGTCTTGGCGCGCAGAAGGGAAGCTCTGCAGCAGCGGAAAAGGCACACCGCAAGCACACAAGCTGCTGCCGGCGCAGAAACCTTCCTGCGAGGTATGCGCAACGTGGCCTTACTGCGCATGTTTGGCGCTGCGACGAGGGATTGCTTCATAGGCGAGACCGAAAGCGCGCCACAAGCGCAGAAGCTGCTGTGGGGAAGAGCCCCACGGACCAACGGCGCACCACTCCCGGCACCAGAGGTTGAAACCCAACTGCATTCTGCTGTTCGGAAAGAAGAACTGCAAAAAAAGTTCACTACAGAAATTATTGCGCGTGAGACCCGTTTTGCGCTGCGTGGAACAGAAAAAACGCCTGGCAATGTATACAGAAAGCAACGCAAAAGCTACATTGCCACTCAGACACGTTGCTCTAGGTACGCTTAACTGCCTGTGGCCTTGCTGCGCATAGACACGTTTCGCGCTGCGGCTGCGAGAATGATTGCCTTGCAAGGGGCAGGCAGGCAGACAGGCACCGACCGACCGACCGACCGACTGACAGAGAGAGAGAGAGAGGGAAATCAGTACACCCAAGTAAGTGCAAAAGCTGACACCGGCGCAGAAATGTCCTTGCGCGCAACTGCCTGTTGCCTGGCTACGCCTAAACCATGTTTTGCGTAGCGTCAGAAGAATGGCTTGCAACGGACAGACACAGCACACCGCAAGCGCAGCAGCAGCAGCAGCACCAGCAGCAGCAGCAGCAACAACAACAATTACGATGACAGCTGCGGACTACACTAGAACATGTCCAAATGTAAGGTGCAGCAGGGTGAGTTGGGCGCAAAAAAGGACACCTAGCACAACGATCATTTCAAGAGTATCACTCTACAAAAACCAATCGGCCGGGTCAGTTTGCTCAGGGCCTGTTTATTACTTTCATCTCATTCCATTCTGCTTGCCCTCCTGGAGGCTTGCAAGCAACACACAACAGCACAACGTACGCTGACTGTTCTACATGACAGACACGTTTTAAAGCCACACACATTGCAAAGCCGCGGCGGGCGTTTTTTAGAACCCAAACAAAGCCAATTAGAATTCGACATATTGGGCGCGTGTGAAATTCCACACCCAAGTGGCATTCGTGGGCTTATTGCCAGTTGCAAATATGTGCGTTGCAACCATCAATCACGAGCCCCGGAAATGTCAAAAACTAGACGACGGTTGGCCCAAGAGCGAGACGGGTGATTGTCCAGCACTGTCGAGTAATGAAATAGATAAAATCGAGTTGTTCAAGAGTCATGACATTTTTATATTAAGAGAAAAGATATGTATACAGATGTGATGTAGCTGCGCAGATGTGTGGGTGTGTGGAGGTAGAGAGGTAGATCTGCGGATGTGAGCGTGTGAAGATGTAAATGTACAGAGGTGAGGGTGTCTAGACGTAGATGCGCCGATGCAACGGCAGCGCAACTTTGCGGTTCAGGAGCGCCATTTCTCGCTGTGCAAGCACAACGCTGAATCGGTTCGACTAAAATAAAACTGATCTATAGCACACCAGCGACACGCCGCGTGTACGCCAGTGTGCTTCGCGCTCCCCAGTGGCACGGCGCCACGCAAACGCACTTCCCACCAAGGCCGCGCAAATCCGCATGGCACTGCGACATCACAGACGTAATTCCGCCACACGGTCTGTCCACACACTAGAAGCTTGCAATCATATCACAATGTGGAGTTCCTCTTGTTCAGGGGTTTGCTTTACAACCAGGGCTTTGAGAAAACCCTCCCACCTTGAGCATTGTAAAGATATTGGGCAAGGATGCAGTTGGAAGTGCATCACTGAACACGTGAAACAAACACTGTGCGTGATATGAAAGGAGCGTTGTGAAATATTGGGCAGCGATGCATCTTGAGTTTGGACACATGGAACTACTTGAAACGCACAAACCTTTGAGAGGGAATGGAATAAATTATGTATGTATATATAGATGTATGTGTAAAAATATGTTCCAGCATTGCCCTTAAACCAACAAAACAGTCAGGCGCATTTTGTAATTGTATGCCTGTGTGTGTGCGTCCAGTGGCGATCGCCCGCTTCTACCCGTCTGAAGCCACCTGGCCCTTATTTACTGGGTTGGGTTGGGTGGGCGCAGGTGCAGGCCAGGGCTGCAATAATGTCAGCGCTAATTGTTTTGGCTTTGGTCCAGGGAAGGTGTTGAATTGCTACCAAATTTGCAGGCTCTCGCTGCGCAAGCGCTCGACGTCCGAAGCACTTATCTTAGCTTGAAGTGCATGTGGTTTTCATGGGAACCAAGTGTCCCATCAGTTTGTTTGAGGAGAGTCCATGGCTGTATATAAGGCAGGGCCAACCAGATCAACCCACAAAAGATGGTGATTAGTGCAGGAATTCAACATTCAGTTGGTGTGAACACTGGTTCTTTTCATCATTTCGGAGGCGACCCTTCCGCATGATCGATCGAGATCTCCGGCGACTGTCCGATCGAAAGCTCCAGTCATTGCTCCCCTTCCACTTCGTCGGCTGGACATTTCTCGGCAGGGATTCAGTGCACTTCAGCGATTGCAGTTTTGCAATGTCAAGCATTTGTGTTTTAATCGCTAGATATTCCATGAAATTCCAAACTAAGAATGCCTTTGAGTGGTTAGAGAGCCTTGCCAGCAGTGTTGTTTTGAGCTATGCGTCAAGTGTTTGCATGAAACAATTCCCCAAATCTTCACTTGAATCATCTTGAAACCCATCGCCCAGGAGTCTCAATATAGTCAAGAGGGAATTTCAGAACCAGCTACCTTGGATGGATGTCTGAGCCTAAGACATCCGCAATAGCTACTTAGTGGTGTTTCTCTTCAGTGGGTCACTTGTTGTGAGGCAGGCGCACCATTGGAACCTATCAAAGTGGCCGATGATGATGAGACAACCGATGGTGAGGCCAAAGTTCAATTAATTTCAAGTGCATCTCAAGACTCAATCAGGAATATCTCTCAGTCTCAAAGCAGCGTCGGCTTTCCGACAGGATGGCAGCAGCTCTAGCACCCTTCAAATGCCAGAGTTTGCCCCTTGGGTTCAAAGGTTCAAACCTAGCCATGTGGGCACATGACATGTGATGTACTATGATCGTACTATGTCATGTGTCATGTGTAGTGTTGAAGGGACCACATGAAGCATTGAGATATCCAAGGAACCTGTGGCTACAAAAACGGAGTTCAAGACCATAGTTTTGAACCAGGTGCGATGTGCTTTCCATTGCTTTCCTGACACGCATTCTTCCGAACATGCTGAAGTAGCGCTTAGCTGCTGCATAGGTCATGGAGTATCTTCCAACAGAGCGCAATGTGGACGTGGCCTTTTCGAATGTGAGGTGGGCGTTGCATGAAGCTGGCATGCAATTGCAATCGGGTGAAACCCTCGATGTTGGATTCCTCACTTGTTTAAGCTGTTGATTTTGGGGGGTATCCACAACCTATATAAGCTTTGTGGATTTGGGAACACATCCTTGAAAGCTTGGATGTTCGTGGGTGCAAAATCTGCACGACACCAGGGAAAAGGGTCACAGTGTATATAGTATACAGGCTTCTCTTTGACAGTGTTATGCATTGCAAAGCGTGTCAATGCTGAAACTTTGAGCCTTTCGTTTCTTTGCGTTGCAAAGGTTGGTTGGGTTCAACAGTGATACAGTTCCTTGTTGGTGAGCCCTTGTAGCGCCATGCCCACTCTCCTGGAGCCTGTGGAAGACTTGAGTGGGTTGGGCCCTTACTTGTAAGTAACAGCGTGACTAAACACCCCAGCTTCTAAACACCTTGAAACCACATTGTCCACCTTACTAAGTTCAGAACCAGAGAGCTTGGCCTATGAAGACCAACAGCTACCGTCCACAACTTGGCCAGCGATGTCCCCTCTCACGGCGCCACTCACTCTTTCGATCAGGTCTTCTTCTGCAAGCCTTGATGAGTATGCCAAGGCGGGTCATTGCTGAGTATTCGGCTCAGATCTACCACACTTCTTGTTATTGGTCAGGACATGCTGCCGAAGATCGCCTTTACATGTGGTGATTATAAGATCCATACTCACCGACCGTGGTTTCTCCCGCAAGCCAAATGGCAACCGTTGAACCTGCGGCTAGATACTTGATTGCAACTCTCCCTAGTTCGTGATTTCCTGATTGGCTTCTGCATGGTTTTCACTTGAACATGATTCGACTTCTATCAAGGACCCAGACGAAGGACGCACCGCCGAAAGTCCAGCTCGTGTCGTCTCCCCTGACCATTTCGAGCTGGGGCACCATACGCAAGCGTCTCAGATCTTTGGCTTCCTTTTGCCTGCTCAGCTTGAATGCAATAGTTTCTGGACATGAGGCTGCTTTGGAGCGACAGTGCGGGTGAACCAAAATTATCTCTCCAAGCGCGGCAGTGGCGTACATGACTCAGGGATTGATTTCCAGTGGCATGAAAGTGGATTCCGAATCACGCTTGCTTGGGGACCCAAGGATTTCGCCAACCAAGTGTTCTACTCATCGCTGCACACCTCCGCGTGCCGGAACCATGGGTTGTCTAAAGGCATCTACGTCACGCCCAGCACCGGCGAACTGATGTCAGGAATTTCTGCGCCTTCTCCATCTAACCAATTCCACCTTCTCAATCTGCTGCAGGACTCCCGCAAGGTTGGACATGTCCTGATGCTGGAGCGGTGAAAGATCGCTTGAGCCTCTTGTATCCTTGGATGGAGTCGAAGGCGTGGTGCACTTCAAAAAATAAAAGAACATGAATCTTTGCTTGGAGGCCATCCAGCCCAAGGCGAAGGTAGTTTCATTGTTTTCAGGGGCGCTCGGACTCGAGCTTGGATTGAGACAGCTAGAGCCTAAGGTTTCATGATCCATTGTTTTGCCAACCTTTGAACAAAAGCGTTCATCGTTATCAATCGTTGGGTATGCGCATTGCTGAGTCACAAGTATTACAAACATTCACCCTTTTCAACCCTCCTCAAATGTCAAACCAACAGCTGGAAGTGCTTAGGTCGAAAAGGAAGAGTTTTGCAGGACCATCATCAAACAACGAATCAGAGATGGACTTGCAGATGACGCCGCAGTCTACGAAGACATCAGGTCGGTGGATGCCAAAGATCTAGGTCCAGCCGATGGCCTGATAGCCGGCTTCCCATGTCAGGCAGGGTCAGTCCCAGACTTTCTCAGGTCTTGCAAAGTCTTTGAACTCTGATGTTCAGTTTGTTGATGTTCTAAAGTCTTTCAAGTCTGACCCTTCAGTTTGTTGATGTTCTGTCCAGGGAGTATCAGTGGCAGGGGCGGCTGCTGGACTTTGTGACAGCAGAACTTCCTTGATTCGTGAAGTGTGGCGGCTCTGGGACCAATATGAAGAGATGGGACAGGGCTTGCAACTCGCAGGATTCATGAAACAATTGGATTTATGACTATGCTTATGACATCTTATGACTATTGGGTTCCCATTCTTGAGCTAGCGGACTTTAAAGCACTTGTGAATCAAGGCAGTTTCTTCTGCTGGAGAACGTCAAGAACATCCTCAGCACCACTTTGAGGGACCTGATGATCTTCCTAATTGAGGTCAGACCATGAATGGATATGTATATTTCTATATCTATATTCATGTAAAAACATGTTCTGTAGATCAATGTTGGCTCAATCAAGTTTTGTCAATCTCGACACCCAGTGTGTCCTGCGTTCCTTTGCTCCAGGCCGCAAAGCAGAGGGGCCTGAAGATGACGTGGTGCACAGTGAATGGCCACCAGGTCGGAGCGCCTGCTGGGGACTCAAAGGTTTCATTGGGTAAGATGAAAAACATGTGTGATAGGATGAACAACAAGTACGAAGGTCAACCGTGATCGGTGCTTCTTCCTCATCGGCAAAGCCCCCATGAAGCTCTTCGAGGACTGCTCACAAAGTGTCTTGAGTGGAAGCCTTTGATTACTGTAGAACCTGACTACAGAAGTTGTTCCATTTGCGCTAGGCCCCACCTATGCTGGATCACGCTTCGCTGAAATCACTCCCGCTTTTGAAGTGGATGGATGGCTCTGCAGCACAGCGTTGGTTGGCCCTGGAACAGTCCGAAGAGGACAAAAGCAGACTAAAAATCTGCGGTAACATCGTAATCCCTTGGACGGCGTTCTTTGCTATGCACATCCTCAAAGAGATGTGGTAGCTTTTTCTTCTAGCTCCGGCAATTCGATGGTTGTGGGTTGCATACGTGTGTCTTGACCACTGCCCCACACAGTTGCAAATTTGACTTGGGAAAGGGTCGAGACTGAACGCTGTTGAGTCTTAATACGTCTTAATGTTTGTTGCGTGGCAGCCATTGCATTGCAGCATTTGTGGGCGCTCCGGCACTTCCTGGGACACCGCGCCGTCGGCTGCACTCCTGGCCTGCTTGGGAAAGATGTTCAGCACTTCGACAAGGTCTTCGAGCGGTATGTGACACCGCATTGTTTGGGCTCCAGGAACGGGGTAACAATGAAGATTTTCACCATGAATACTTTTGTTTTTGCAAGATCTTCTTCACATGGCATAGACAAGGTGCAATACACTGTGTTGCAACTCCAATGAAGCACACAGTATTACAATCTTTACACAAACATTGTCTCTTGATGTTTCATGCATCCCCGTCTATGGCGGGCAAAGGGCGTATGCCAAGGACAGCTTATAAAGAAATATGTCAGTGCTAATTCTCAGTTTCACTTTACTTACACACCAACCTCCACATAGCCCCACATGTTCGCAGGAATCCTTCCTTCGCAGTGACTGAAGGCGTGTTGTGGGCGGGCGCTAGCAAGTCAGAGCAGTGTAGTCAAACCAAAACTGATGCCGCACTCCGTGTTAGGTCATTACTGCTTTTGGATTCCTACTGGCCACAATGTGGGATTCCAAAGTTTACTTGTTTCTGCCTGCTTCGGTCGGAAGAAGGTGCGAAGGCCGCGTTCCTCCAGGTGGGCTGATGAATGACACTGATGGACACATGTTTTGGCATCAATATTGCCATTCATTGACTGCGTTGATATTGTTTCGCCAGACTTCACGGAGCCTCCCATCAACCCAGAGTCTAAAGAAAACAAGACATTGTGAAGATATGCGCAGATCATGCGTCCGTGTCTTATTCAAGAACTGTTCTGATACGAATACCAATCATTGCTTTTTCCTGGACTACAATAGTTGGTTCTAAGGTCAAGAGCCTTGGGCGATGCACGATGCCGCCAAGGAATTGGAAAAGCTTTCTTTGGGCGTTGTCGAGGGGGCTATGTTGGATTGCCACTGGTTCGAACCTCATGCTTTCAAAGCAACCCTTTCGCCCAGCGCCCCTTCGGCTCAGGGCACACCCCACCATGGAGTTGCTGTCGGATCATCGGCTAACCACCTTCCTCCTGCTCAGGATTTGACGTGCGTTGGGGACTTGGGGACTTTGGGATTTGATGCGCGTATGACAGATTAATGTTAACGTTAAACACTTGTGTATTCTTGCCTAGGCAGCAAGTGAATTGAAGCTGGTGTCGTTGGAGGGTGAAGAAGCAAAACGCTTCAGAACAGCTAGGGGGTATCAAGCTCTTTACAGTGCTGCAGCGCAGCTTTGGAGAGAAGGTGTTGACATGAGCCGCGCAATTCAAATAGTTTCAAAGGCAGTCGACATTGCGTCTGGCAAGTCTTAGGCTGTCTTTCGGGGGAACACCTGTGATTCAGGGTGGAGCTGACACTGAGATCGCTGTTCAATAACCGTTCCATTGTTTTTGGTTGACTTCGAGGCTACATCCTAACCAACACAGGTGTGTTTGTGAACTGACAGGGGTGCCCAACCACTGAGATTGTGAAAGGCAATTTCCTAACTGGCAGCCGGACCGCTGTTTGTGAATGGTCGGGTCGTTCCACGGCACAAACACCATCCAACTCAGAGCAAATCTACATACTGTGTATTTGAGTTTGCCTGTTGAATTGATTTCAAAAAATCCCATGGGTGATTGTGAATGCACGGGTCGCCCCGCGGCACAATCATGGGCAACTGAGAGACATGGCTGGGTGTGAAGGATTTGCCTTTCACAAAACCGAAGTGCTTTGGAGCAACACTATTCACAATCTCTGGAGAGATGCTTGTGGACAAAGGGCTCGGGGACACCAAGGAATTGATCTGCTGCTTTTCGGTAGTTCGACACATATAGTTTTATTCTCTTTGAAACCGGTCCTGGGCCAGGCGACGCCGCCCAAGAAAAGACCAGCGCCTGGAACCGGCGCGGAGCCGAAGGCGAAAGCCAAGAAGGGTGAGCTCCCACCCCTACCGCCAGATCACAGGTCAATGCCCCATATGCAGCTCTTGGATGAGTGGCTGTTACATGGCCAAATCAAACAATGTATCGAACACTATCGAACAATGTATCAACTGTTTGTAAAGTATGCATGGGAGCAAAAGGAAAGATAGCATATGATAGCATCAACCGTTACAAGATGTTACAAGCATTTGCTGGGCCAAGGATGGAACACATTTTGAAGCCCAACAAAACTGTGGACGCCTACCTGACAGAGGAACTCGACTCGAAGGACAGGTGAATGTTTGCACACAAATTTTTGTTGGGGGGAATGTTACAGTCAGTAGGAGCCACCGCTTTCTACCAGTGGGTGGAAGCAACGGTCTACGCTGACCCAGCTGTGTGGTGATCTCAGGGACTCTACTAACCTACAGCCTGTATCCAATCTTCATGGGCTGAGGTCATACTGCATGGCGACCGATTTCAATGGGCCTAAGCTGGCTGTTCACCTACGACCCTGGCAGATTCCACACCGCGCAGATTTTGGTCTGCGTGGGACGTCGGACATTGCCAGATACCTAGTGTTCCAGGGTGCACCTGCGCATGTTGTGGTTTTCCATTTCTCCATTGAGGAAGTGCAGCATCAGCTGATGCAGCTGATATGCCTAAATGGCCTGCAAACCAACCCAGATTGTCCTGGGTGTGAACGCGTTGTAGGCACATGGCTTCAAAAGGAATGGCTACAGCTTCCTCGTGAGGAGATTGAGGCCTCTGACTTCAACGCACCACCCGAGCTTTTGGGACCAGAGAAGATCTTCACGCTCAAGGGCTGGAATCGCTCAGTCTGCGGATTGAGTGTGTTATACGCAGCTTTCAAGAATAAGGAGCTGTTGAAGGCCTGGGGCTGACTACAACTTCATGAAAACAGCACACAGGGATGCATAATATGGTGCTAGAGCCCCTGGACTCGCACTAGTCGCATTGCAAATATGTACATCTTATATCATACCGAATTATACCCTTCATATGTTTTATATAACAAGAATCTCTTGGTTTGACTTTTTTCAAACTACTCGCCAAGATCCTTTGCCACCGTCCACACAACCCTGACGGCACCTGATTCATCGATGATCGTGAACACAAATCGTGGCACTCCAGCTGCACAATGCCTTCCAGCGCAGATTGAATGCATGTGACCCAATGTGTTTGCTCAGTGTCTTGAGATGATGAGGAGTGACAATGGCTTCTTCGGTCCGCAGGAGGCCCAACTGCTTCAACCTAGTCTTCCAACTCGAGTTCTTGATGCGGTGTGGACACAATCAAGAAGCAAGTCTCAAAACACTAGAGGCGGGGGCAAGAATGAAAAACATGCGAAGAACACCAAATCCGAACGCGCCAATGCAATGTTCAATGTTACATTCCAAATTACCTGATCAGGCCCAGGAATCCGCTGCCACCTTCGCAACCGCATACGCACTTGGAAAGCATGAAGCAGCCGCCACCATGAACCTGATGCGGCGCATACTGAGCGACATCAAGGAAGGATTGACCTTGTTGGTGAGGCAGGGACAATTGGAACCGGGTACTTTGTGATTGGACCAGGCAGTTGCTTGTCAAGCAGGGTCTTGTTGACGGCAAGCCAGGCAATACACGATGCCAAAGTTCATCAACCATGATGGATTAGCGGAAGGATTGCTGAATCTGACTATTGTAGTGCCACCGGTCCACATGCCTCTTGGAAGACCCAGCTCCAGAACACACATGAGACCCTGGTGTTCATGCTGCACAGAATGGAAAGCGATTGGGTCAGTCTCACACCCAAAATGCGGAAGCCTTGGGGGATGAAGGATTTGGCAACTAAGAACAAGCTTTAGTGAACAAGCTTTTTGTGAGCATAGTTTTGTTCCAGATCAACTAAACATATAGGTTCGGTTTGGAATCCGTTCTCCTTCTGAGGTACCACTCCAGAAGATTACTTGCCTCTTTGTGGCTTGCGTCGATCACTTCAAATCCATGGTCCCGACAGGTTTCAGTGACGCTGCCCTCATCGAGGTGAACAAAGCGTTGCTCATCGTAAGGGTGTCAGTCATTCAAGCTTAAGTTTGTATCAGTTACCATTGAAAGGATGTTTCAGTTCAACCAGTTACCATTGAAAGGATGTTTCAGTTCAACCAGTCATATCCCAGGTTTGAAAAGCGCCACGCAGACGCTGACTTGTTGGCGATGCTCGATGGGGGAGTACCACCACCCGACCTCTCGAAAGTGAGCGTCTTCGCAGTGCATCTTTCCAAATTCTCGACAGAGGCCAGGTGCGTATTCACCAGTCTGCTGTACCCCAAACCTCATTGGAAAGTTAGTTCCCTTTGAACTCGAAAGACCATTCGCGTCCCGCCACACCGGTCCCAAGGTGGAGAAGCGGAACCTCGAAAAGGCTCAACAGCTTCTCGGCCTAAGACTGGGCAGGGCAACCAATCGTGATCTGAGTTGTATCGTTTGTGGGAGGCTCAGCCAACAATTGCTCCATACCACATGGCAACAATTGGAGTTGCAAGTGGAGGAGGACAAGTTGAAAATGGAGGAATGGTCTAGGAAACTTGAGGGCTTCATCTCCAAGCAGGCTCCCTCCTACTGATCTCAAAACATGCCAAATGGTCTCACAGTCTCACGCCATGTCATTATATATTATATATATATATGAATATATGAAAGAACATTTTCCATTGTCCCTATTATTTTCATCTTCCCTCGCGCCAGGGATCAATGGATGTGAAGTACCTCTCAGACCGCTACGACACAGGCAAGGCTGCAGTGGACAAGCTCCTGGCCGAGAAGCATCGCGTTGCGCGGCATTCTTCGACCTGCATGGGGCATACTGCCATAGTGCAAATGCAGGGTGACATGGGCCCGGATGGGTGTCTAGTCTCAAGTACAAACACTTTTATCTTACAAGTTCAGTGCAAAACTGTTCAGTGCAAATTTGCAAGTTTCTCGATCCATGCACCGACACTCAGGTTGACCGTCTTGATTGCAGATGCAACCTTGTGGCCAACGCGCGCCTGTGCTTCAACCACTTATTAATCAGGTGATTGTCCAACCTACATTAAAGCCATCTTGGGCCTGAGGTGCGTTGTCAATCGACGAAGAGCTCCAAGTGGCGCAGAGCGTGACCTCTGGGAACCCTAAATCAATATCCTTTTGGTTCCTGCCACAATGGCCCAGCAGCGCGGGCAAGGTTGCAGTGCTGAAGAATCGACGACTGCTAGAAGATAAAGTGGTGGGGAATCTGGGGTGTCTTTTATGTCTTTCATGTCTTTTATATGTTTTTCAAGGAACGCCCAAGCACCCAATCAAGGCATCACCTAGAGACTTGGGATTCTTCACCAGTTGCCCCTCTCCAAAAACACATCGCCCAGAACTTTGGACGTGTACGAGATCGCTGTTGTCTACAAAGACAGCCAGCATGGAGGAGATCACAGGAAGAAAAGCCAACAGTGTTTCTTGCTTCTGTTCACAAAAGGGTTTTATCTAAACGCATCCGAAACACATTTGGAACAACAATAGATTGTTTGAAAAAAGGTTTTCGCAACAGGTTTGTCCTTTTCTCCAGGGTTTGTGGCAACCGATAGTTCGCAAGCAAATGAGGCTTGGCAGGGGTGGCTCCTGGCATGACGGAAGTCCCATGGGCTCGCAGCAAGGCCTTGGCGGGGGCCATCGACGATGTGGATCGGGCGAGGGTGAGCGAGCTGAGCAACCCGGAGCCCGACAAGCCATTAGCGCCCCACTGGCGAGTTGCTTGTCTCATCATGACTTTTCTTGGTGGGTTGAAAGATTGTTTTTGGAGCGTGTTCGGGTGGGTTATGAGCCGCTGTCCAACTAACCAACCAACTAATCAACCAACCAACCAACCAACCAACCAACCATGTGTTCCAATATCACAGGTGCAGCAGAGGGGTGCGCAAGCCTGCGTGGACATCATCAAGCAATTGCTGACTGGAATGCACACCCGCAAAGCCCATCCCTTGCTGATTGTCGACCTGCTGCCATCCAGGTTTCAATATCCCATGAGACTAAAATGATTCCATGTTCCTACTAATACTGTATAGAACGTGAAATGGAAGATGGGAAATGAGGTGTGCAAAGAACCTATTGCACTCTACCCTGGAGGTTTTCCGAATGGTCCCAAGCAGCTTGGCAACTCCAGCGCGACTTCTTGATCGCCACATCCCCAGAGGACCCGGCCTGGGATGTTCGCTTTTTGAGCATCTTCCATGATGATGACGCTAAATATGCGGAGTCCTGCCGGCGATGCACCAGTGGTGGGACATCTCAGAGGCTGCTGGGCCGAAGGCTCGTGCTTCAGAGCCCTTCTCAGAGGTGGTGGACAACGAGCTGAAGTCTTTGGGTTGATTAACATTTGATTTTTTTGGAGATATCACTTGCAGGATCTTTTGAACATTTTTGAACCAGTCCTGGATCTGATTGTGTGTTTCCCTTGAGCCTACCCAAAAAACATCTGAGGTTGCCCGATATGGTGAGGTCAAAGTATGGGGCCTCTCACAAAGAGCAATTGAAGGGGTTGGAGGACAAGTTGATGGAGGAAACGACTATCTTGAGGTCCATCAAGAACTTCAACCAGGGCGCCTCTGCTACCCCGTCTTCTACGTCCGGAAGCGGTGGCCGAACAATGGCTTCGCCAGAATGGGGGGTAAGTGATGGGCCGATCAACTAGAACAAGAGGTTTCATGTCCCTGGGATCCCTGTGGCCGAATTTCAAGCTGGCAATGAGTGACTAGCTGTGCATTAACAAAAGTTCAATCTTTTGAGCCAAGGGTTTAATGTATAACCATGTGCTATCATTTTCAATACTGCCTAGCAAATTTGGTCAATGTTTGATCCTTCTGTCTCGAACAGGTTGGAAGCTTTTGCACCGCTCGCCCGAGAACCCTCCGTTGAAGTCGCCTTCACCAAGTCGGGCAATTTGTGGCTTGTGAACCGTGGGGTGGCAGCTGTCAACCTCACCCATGGTGAACTGTTTGGCTTTAACGTGGGCGCATATGTGGAAGTGCCGGCAGGACAAGTGACCAAAGAGGTTGACATAGCTTTGAAGCTTCGGGGTCATATTGAGGTCACCATTGGGGCAATGTTCAATCGAATACTTTGGCCCTGGAGGAACACCGTGCAACACTGCCATCCCACGGTCCCTCCGAAAGGATTCGTCGGTCCTCATCCTGGTCAAGACCTCGGTGGGCGATGCGGGCACACAAGTCACTCAGAAAGATACAACGACCTTGGCAGACCTACTGTGCTCCGTGGCCAGAACTCGTGGAGTTACAGAAGCTCGTGTGATCGATCATTCTTTGAATGGCATGGTGAAGGCTGAATGATTCAAGACTATGGAATCATGTAGAAGTTTGAACACGTGATATGTTTGAACATGTGTTGAGAATCATGTAGACGTTGGAAGTATTTGCTTTCTGTGGAGGCGGGGCCTGATGGTGACCAGATCCCGCTCAAATTTCGCTATGAAGTCCAGCCGGATACCAAAATCAACGCCTTCAAGCCGAAGCCATTAGCAGATAACTCAGGCTTGCGCGCTGGTCAGTTTGGAGGCATCTTCCATGACCGGATCTTGCAAATCCCAACTGCGCCTCATTGCGACATCGTCTGGGAGGCGGGTCAGAAACTCAAAAGATGGAATCCAACGAATGTCCAAACACCAGGGGTCAACCCTCACACTTCATGTCCAATAGTGTCCAATCCTGGGAGGTGAAAGTGGGAGAGGAGGTGCCAGCAGTGGTTACTCCACTGAAACCGAAATACTATTTGCTGGCAAGCTGTAGCATCGAAGCGGGCGAAGCCCTGAAGTTGAAATAGTGGCAGGGTGGGTTAAACAGTCTGTTCATGGATGTTTGTTGACACTTTGTGTTGTTGAAATCTTTGGTGAACATGATGTTAGGAGTGAGGGCGTTTGCGCGCAATGCGGCCCAATGAATATAGCAGTGGTCTCATTGGCCTGGGGTGCGCGCCGCATCCTCCCATAAAAGCCCTGCCACCGCTTTTGCCAAAACAACCCCTGATTCTAGGGGCCATTATTCTCAAGGCATCTCAAGCCTGTCCGTCGGAGAGAAAAGCATTCCGATAGTTGGAACAAGCTTCATTGCATTATATTGCATTATTTTGCAGTGTGCATCATTGCAAGCAAACATGGAAACCCAGGTCCCACCGCCCTAGCATTCATCTCAAAGGTGTGAAAGAGAGAAAGGTTTACGCAAGGGTTTCACGCTCTTTTCAACATGGTTCTCCAGCCGGTGGACCAGTTCCCAACGACACTACCCAGAGCGCTCAGGCGAAAGCCAAATCCATACCCAAGGTACCCAAGGCCGCTGGTAAGGGGAAAGCGAAAGCTAAGACCCTGCCCAAAGCTCCACCGAAGGCGAAAGCAACGCCCAAGCCCAAAGCGGAAGCACCGGCGCCCGCCAAACCGAGTGGGTCAGTTGAGGCACCGCCCCCGCCATCTCAGTTGAGGAAGCGTGAGCTGGCCTCCAAGGCCAAAGCGGCGGCCGCAGAGCCGAAAACCAAGGTTTTGAAGAAGCCAGCTGCGGCTGCAGCTGACTCCGGTCGCCCTTCCGCTCTGAAGTTTAGCGTGCATAAGGGGTACTACAAGCGGAACCGGAAGTATGGGTTCAAAATTGGTGGTTCTGAGAAGTTCTATGCAGTTTGACTGCATTATATTGCATTCATCCATGTAGTTCATGTCCATGTGGTTCGTATGTTTTGCGATTGGCTCATTTATTTTGTCACTTCATGCAACTCCCGCTGAGTTCCATGTTCCGGAAGGCCTGGATGAAGAGAAGCGTGAAACCATCATCCATATATCCTTGAGGAGACCATCCGCAAAGAACTTGTTCGAACTCGTGGCAATCTACAAGCTGCTGAAGCACTGATGGTGCCTCTTTCACCCTCTCGTGTTCTTCTGTGCTTTGCATTGTGCAATGTTCTTCCATGTTTTGCATGTGGTTCAATGTTTTTTACATCAAGTTGCAAGCCTAGAAGTCTTCTACCCAGGACTCGATGGTCAAAGCGGCCCTGGAGTCGGCTGCGCCCGATGCGGAGCAAGATGGCGAGATTGTGCCCGAGGGCGGCGAAGAGGAAAACCCAGCAGAAGAAGATGAAACGCTGGAAGGCCCCTTCACTAGATGTCCTTTTCACAAACTCTCCTTGATGAACCTTCTCAGCTTCATCAACTCAAAATTTATAGAAAAGAACGTTTTACAAACTATGTAATTTTTAAAGGTGTCATGCACTACACACAGTGGCAGGTGAAGATGGCAGTTGAGAAGAACCCAAAGAGCCGAGCTTTAGCGAACTGCGTCCCTACTTGTCGGTAGGCCTTTGGGCGAAACCACTCTGTAGGCAAGCGCCACCCTAAAACACTTAGGATATAACGTTGACCCTAAAACCTTCCCGGTTTGTTGCTTACCCACAGGGGGATGCCGTGCCAAGTGCCCACCAACTGTGTGGAAGTCCGTGCGACGTGCGACCCTTCTCGCAGGAAATAATTCTGGCCGATTCGCATGACTCAACATTCTATATTGAAAGGGCTTATACAAGAACTTAAGAAAACATATTCGAAAAAAGGTCCTATGTTCTTTTCGTGAGCTTGATTAAGCTCTCCAGGAATCATTGGACGTTGACTTTCCAAAAACAATCCGCTGCAGACATAGTGACTGTGAGCGCCACTTCATTTCGGGTCTCGTCCAAAGCTTTGTTCAAACCGGGTTGTTGCTGTTTTACCTCTTCGTTTTGGATCGTCATCGTATTTCGAAATCGAGAGTTATGAGGCGCGTTTGTGTGTGTGAGTTACGAGGTGTATTATACTGACATATATATATATATATGTCATATGTCGTTGTAATATGTTCACGGCATATGTCATGTAGTCACCTGAGCACCTGAGCACCACTGCTGCCACCATGGGCGTTCAAACTGCATCCTTGCCCAATATCTCCCAATGCACTACTGGACGCAAGTGCTGCTTGAGTTGGCTTTTGCCAAAGCCCTGGTTGTAAAGCAAACCCCTGAACAACAGGAACCACACATCACATGATACCGCCAATCGTCGCGCTCACCAGCGACAAGCCGCGTTTACACCAGCGTGTTTCGCCCCACTTCCCGTGGCACGGCGCCACGCAAACTTCCCACCTAGGCCGCGCAAATCCGCATGGCGCTGCGACATCACGGACGTCCTTTCACCACACGGTCTGCCCACAGACTATAGAAGCCATCCTACATACCGCCAATCATCCCGCTCACCAGCGACACGCCGCGTTTACACCAGCCTGTTTGCACGGCGCTACGTAAACGCACTTCCCACCAAGGCTGCGCAAATCCGCATGGCACTGCGACATCGCGGACGTAATTTGGCCACGCGTTCTGCCCACACAATCATATCACGCGATACCGCCAATCATCTCGCTCACCAGCGCCACGCCGCGTTTACACCAGCATTTTTCGCGCTCCCCAGTGGCAAGGCGCCATGTAAACGCACCTTCCACCAAGGCCGCGTAAATCCGCATGGCACTGCGACATCGCGAACGTAATTCGCCATACGCTCTTCCCACACAATTCTGAAGCAGTCAGATCACACGATACCGCCAGTCCTCCCGCTCACCAGCAACACCCCGCGTTTACACCAGCGTGTCTCGGGCTCCCACTGGTACGGCGCCACGCAAACGCACTTCCGACCAAGGCCGCAAATCCGCATGGTACTGCGACATCACGGACGTAGTTTCGCCGGTCTGCCCACACACTAGAAGCAATCCTATCACACGACGCCGCCAATCATCCCGCTCACCAGCGACAAGCCGCGTTTACACCAGCAGGTTTCACGCTCCCCCAGTGGCACGGCGTCACGTAAACGCACTTCCCACCAAGGCCGCGCAAATCCACATGGTACTGCAACATCACGGACGTAATTTGGCCACGCGTTCTGCCC